CCTTCGTTTTGGCCATTTTCGCTGAGCCCTGAGGGCCACAGGCTCAGACCTACAGAGCTGAGACTCACATCAGTAATATTAGGTTATGGCCTGAACGCAATGACACTAAAATCATTCGCCCAATTTGAGCTCTTTAGCGCCACCTGTCCGAAAGTAATAGGGCACTAGTGCTCGGATCGGCCCGAAAATCGCGTATAGTGTATTCCAGTAGCGGCGCCAGGTTTGCAATTTTGGGTAGGCCTGCAGATTAGTAAGTAGGCCAAATTCGCACGCAAACTACAAGGGGTAGCTGGAATTGGGGTTTCAAAGAATATGGTTCAAACACACGCACGCACACACACGCACCCAAGCACACACATACACACAAGCTCATTTATGAAACTTGCGTAGAAAAATGTGTACATTTGGGGTGTATATTCCATTTACGCAAAATCCAACGTCGGATTTATGAACGTGTGAGATCAGCCCAGATCTGAGCGTATACGCAGCTGCGGGTGTTGATAAATCGGCTGAATACGAACGTATTTATGAAAGTCACGCCTAGAATTATGCAGCAATGGTCGCGACAGGTCAGCACGGAAGTCCAAAAAGACTGTTGGAAGCCTCAAAAGGCACGTTTGTTTGTTATGTTTATGTAAAAATAAATATACGCTATATATTCAGCTGCGTTTTTCACAAATTTGCAAAAATAGTTTTGATACATTAGAAAAATCTCTCTTGAATTGTAGAAGTGAATAAATATAGATTGATTGAATGAATTAATTCATATTTATTATGCAGCGGTGGCTCTCATGAATGAAGCGTCTGCAGTGTCTTGGACGCAGCCTGGCTCGGGGTAGAAGTGCGCATTGAAGCACTGTACACTTCAGAGAGTGTTTGCGGTCCAGATTTCACAAAGAAACTGAAGCCAAAACTTCTGCACATTTGAGGAGTTATGTGGCGCGATATCTCACGGCACTCGCTGCGCACTCTGGACAGGGCAGTGAGACATTTGGAGTGAGCAATACCATCGGTGCGTTATTGGGGTGTGTGTCTGTGTGAGGCTTACACAAATCTAATGAAATAACACATTGCTTTACCAGATGTGAGGAATACAAATAGCCGTGCGTAATTACGCAGTGCAGAGCCTGTCACAGCAATAGCTGGGTCACACATCCCTGTTGCGTAAAGTGTATTTATATAGAGCCTTTCACAGTTCAGGATCACAAACCGCTTCACATTTAAAAAACATACAGATCAAAATAATACACACACAAGTCAGATTTAATAGAGGGTCCTGATCATGAGCTGTGATTTATTCAAAGTTTGCATTTTTCCATTAGACTTTTTCCGATGCGCAAATTCAACTTTAGAAACATGATGCTCAATGAAAACACAGCTTATAATTTTGCCAGAGGGAATATGTTTATTGTTGTCCAAATCCTGAATTTCATGCGTGTTTTGGCGTGTTGAGCCCAAGGTTGAGATCAGCGTATACGTTTACTCCACCTCCAGACCTGCCGTATATTTTTTTGCGTATTGTACGCTCACGTCCAGATAGATAAATGCGGAAAAGTGATTCTACCCTGATTTACACCCTGATTTGTCCGTACGCAAGTTTCATACATGAGGCCCTGTGTCTCACACAGGCCTGGGGTTTACCTCATCAGTGCGAGGTGAACCTGGCCTGACTGCGCTCTCCTCCTCTGGGACCTACGGCCCCGGGCCTCTGGCTCTTCTACCTCACGAAGTTCACGCTGAACTTTCTTAAAACTAAAATGACTAAAAAGGCTGCTCTGTTGTGAATGTTTTGAGAGCGTTGTCAATCTTAAAGACGAGGAATGGCTGCTTGTTCTCGGGAACGAGCTTCGCGCTGTGTGATATGATCATGCAGATTATTGGACAAAATTATTCAGCCAATAAACAGGACTATTTGAAGCAACGTGAACGCTCAGGGGGTTACATTTTCTTAAAACATTAGAACGCAACATTTAGGCAATAATGTGTGTATAAAAATAACAATATTTAAATTATGACTTTTAATAAAAAGGCTAATGACTTGAGAGGCGAAAAACAAATTTGAGTAGGCCAAGAAAAAAACTGGTAGGCACCGGCCTACCCGGGCCTATCCCTGGCGCCGCGGCTGGTGTATTCTCTGGACCGAGACGAGCAAAACATTACATTACGCAAAAGTTGTACGTCCCACACCTGACCACTGGGGGCGCCGGAAAGTGAATAAATGAGCTTTTTAGGGCAAAATGTTTGTCCGATGAGGCTAAAAATGATTTCAGAAATACAGCGTATGACCCTGAACACAACGATATACAACACACAACTGTGAGTATAACAGCGCCACCTACAGGCAGTTCAATGTGTTGCATTTTTGGCTTCGTACTAGTCCCTGGATTTTCATCGCACAGACTTCTACCATGTCGTTTCTCCATCTGGACGGATTGAAGTTATGCAATCATTGCATAAAAGTTAGAAGTTTGTTATCGTTTTCATGCGAGGTAGCGGGGAATTTCTCCATGTTTGATGCTCTCCTGACCACAGGCTCAGACCTACAGAGCTGACACTCACATCGCTAACAGTTGGTAATGACCTGAGAGTAATGGTGTGAAAACACACACCTAATATGACTCAATAGCGCCACCTATGGAAGGCTTCTGACCTAAACTTTTCCGATCTTCACCAAAGTTGCAAAATCAAATCTTTACATCTGTACGAGCAAAATACTACTCTACGTAGAGGGTGCATGTCCCGGAGGTGACCACTAGGGACGCACTTTATCATATAAATGAGCTTTTATGTACGTAATCCTGGTCCGATCGGGCTGCCAATTCGTCGGCGTGACGCTTGTGGGACTGGCGCCCAGGAGGTGGTCGCAAGAGGGGCGAGGCCTTTCATCGCCGCTTGCGGCTTTAATTATTATTATTATTATCAAGAAATGCCTTTGTCTTGTAAAGGACAATAGATCTAGAACAGTCTATTATATGAGCCATTGATGTTGGTTCAGTCAATAAACCAAAACAACAGCTCCGGCTATTTCAGGCTGACTGTAACTAGATTATATGAACTCACTTTCCAAACATTCTTATTCTTAGGCTAGATTATCCCTTTAGGCCCCAAGAGCAGCAGCCATGATCAAAGAGAATACACATTTCCCCACAATTGGGTTACATCTTTTTCTTGCATTAGTTTAGTGGTTTGAGTACTCCTCTGTCTCTGATACAATTTCATGGCTCCAGCTTGTGTCTGTTTCACATCAAATATCTAAAGAAAAAGCTTGAAGAGTCAATCTGTGTGTGTGAGATAAGTATTTCCCCTTGGACTGTATCCTTTATAAAAAAAAAACATGGTGCAGCAGAACAATTTGCAGTCATTTTGATGGCTGTGTAATTACTGTGGTTGTGCACATTATGGTCTTCATAACGTTGTGACTTTTTCTGTCTCTTTGCAGTTTTTTCTTATGTCATTATTTTTATTGAATTATTTTGTGAAATTGTGAGTAGTTCTTCCTTTACCTCACTACAAAAAGTGATGAATAATAAGTCAAAGATTGCTCAATTTTGGCTACATTTATCTTAATTTGAGCCCATTTTGACTGCCCTAAAACAAGATTTATCAATGGGACAAAGCAAAATGATCTTGTTTTAAAAAGATACAAGAAAATTAAGCAGCAGTTTGTGAAATAAGATTGAATGACTTTGTCCCTTTGGCAAATCTTGTTTAGAAACCGTCAGAATGTACTCGATTTAAGCATTTATTACATCATATTTTATCATTTTTTTGCAGTGCTCCTAACTTGAATGTAAAAATTCAAATGCAGCTGTTGCTGGTCCGGGACTGGTTCTAGACTGGTCCTGGTTCAGAGACCAGTAGCGAAAGTATGAGTTGCCATGGCAAACACACTGTTTATTCGTTTGGCCTTTCAACAAACTGTTTTTAGTGTATGTCAAGTTATTATCACCAGTTTTAGCACACAGTAAACGTGAGTGAAGCTAAAAACCTTATAAACTTACTTTTTGGTGGAAAGCTAACATTTTGCGGATCCCTTTCTCAACCTGTAAAAAAAAGGTTTCTTTTTCTTTTCCCCGAGGTTTCTTACTTTTTTCCCACTGGGTTTTTTTTAAAGAGTTTTTCCTTGCTGATGCAGGAGGGTCTATTGGGCAGTTCGTGTCCAACTAGAAGGATGTGGTGATGATCCAGGACACTTTAACATTCTACAACATGTATGGACATTTATCAACATGTGTTCTTTATTCTTTATGTGTTTTAACTCTCTGACCTGTGTTGGTGATTTCAATGGTTTTGTTAAGTCCTCTGAGATGACTTCTGTTGTGACATAGGGCTATACAAGAATAAATTGTATTGTATTGTATTTTGGGAGATTTTTTTTCAGCATTTCATTGATTTGAATGGGAGTGGTTTCAGAGGTCTGGGAGTCCTAGTGTCATTATTAATACAAAAGAGCATGTGATAATAACTATTTACAGCCTGTGTGTGAAATCACCTGTGAGTGTTTAGAGTAACTTCTGCTTTAAGCCGAAAACCCCATCCAATGACGTCACCGGCAAAACCTGCTCCGGGCTGCGCTGGGGCGTCTTTCCCAAGTCCACCGTGTCTGGCGTGCCGCGACTTACCCACTTTTACTTCAAGTTTTAGCCATTTTCTTTAACATTTTAACTTTTTGTTTTATTATTCAAAGTCTATCCGTGTGTCCTGGCGTGGGGTCGTGTGTCTGGAACTGTATTTGTGAGAGTTACCGACGGGTTTTTTGAGAAACCGGTGGAGGAAGATGGAGCGGCTAGCTGTTAGCTCGAGTGATTAGCCTAAAATCACAGGTCAAGAATAGGATTGTGCTAACATGCTAGTGCTAACATGCTAACAGCGAAGCTAACTTAGCATCTGTGACGCTAATTCAAGTGACTTTGTTGAGCTGTGAGGCTGTACACGCCTTGTTTGAACTGATTTAAAGAGAGGATAAACTTATTACAAGGATAAAAAAACTCTCTCTCAGTATGTTGTCCAACCAGCAGCCGCTTTTCCCGAACCAACCCGGGCAACAGAACCAGGTAGGCGGGCAGCAGCAGCAGAATCCCTCGGCCCCTTTCATGGCTTTCCACGTAAGACCCACTCTACAGATTAAGAAAAATGCCATCACGGACGACTACAAGGTGACCAGCCAAGTCCTGGGGCTCGGTATCAACGGGAAAGTTCTGGAGATTTTTCAGAAAAAGACCGGGGACAAGTATGCGTTGAAGGTAAGCAGTGGAAGTGAGATTTGGGTCGAAAATTCAGGTGAAATATCTTGAATTCTTCTGAGATAGTCATGCGGAAGTGGTGGAAAGTTGAAAATATTGCCCCAGGTAACACATGTCAACATTAGTGGTGTTAAAGCCAGCTGTGGAGTTGAGTTACACCTATTGTTTACGAGGAAATGACAAATACTGAGTAATCAAAACATGTATTCACAAATATAAAAATGTCTGGACCTACGTAGTATGGTGTAAGGTTTTGAGTTGGGGGAGAAAAGGGAATTTATTTAATGACCACAGTTGAAAATCAAAAACAATGGTCATTCAGCGAGTGGTTTCTCATGTGAAAATTATGAATGAAATGCCAAGGAAGTCCGGACCAGTGGTTTTACTTCCCTAATCTGCCACAGTGTTTCTTCTGTCATTTTACACCATAGTATAATCATTGTTTCTTTGATCATCTGTTATTTACCTACGAGCTTGCTTTGGCAGAAAAAACAACAGTGACATGTTGGATAGCCTCTGACCACTGCCTTCACCAATGTCAATAAAGTCAAGATAATAGTGATCTAGTCCAGATGGCTGTTCCAGGAGTGGAGCAGTAAAATCCATGGGTCTGGCTTATGTGGATGGATTTGACAGAAGAGATACACTTCCCTTTGTGAATGATATCGTTACAATACACTGTAGATTTAAAATGTTTATTTAGACATGATTTAGCTATAATAACTTCTAATTTGTATGTAATTTATTGATATAGTTGGTGTCGTATACATACTCAGACTATACAGACACATATGGGACTCAAAAGGAGTAAGCAAAAACATCTAAATGCTTATGTCGGCCTCTCCGCTTTAACATACACATCCATAAAATTATTATTCTGGGTTATCACAGACACTAGATTTTGTTGTATCAATAGCTCATAGCTCATGGGATCTACAGTCTGTCCGCCTTTAGGTTTTTGAGTGTTTTTTCTTGCCGTTGCAAAATGATCTAAGGACAGTGATGATCCAGGACATTTAATAACATTTATGGTCCGGTGATGCTGCTCCCTATGGACCCATGCCTATGTGTTATGATTGCATTTTCTGAGGTCTCTAATCTGTTCTAATCAGTTCTCTTCTCTGAGACGACTGCTGTTGTGATTTTGAGCTATACACACATACATTGAATTGAATGTATATTGTTGGCAGCATTTCCTGTTTTTTGGTTAAGAATTTGCATCACATTTAATCTGCAACAACAACCAGACAGGATACATCTTCGGTCAGTCTTTAGCTGTCAATCCAAGCTTTCAAACTGTGATTTTGATTTCTATAGGGATCTCAAATGTAGTATTTATGAATGGCTGTGTTTGTTTGTGTAGAGAGTGCTGTGTAATGGTTAACCCGAATGGGGAATTGGCTCGCGGCAGTGGTTTGATTATGAAAATGACAACAATAATTCTCTTCTGCTTATAGAACATGTTTTTATCTTGGTTTAGTCCTGATTTATACCAGTATATATCAATGTTTTGATTTGTGTTTGGGCTCTTCTAGTTGCATGGAGATACAGACCTTTTTGGGGAGAAATCTTTACATTCTGAATGAATACAGTTTGGTAGAATTGTGAAATGGAGCTCAGGATAAGAGTTTCTTCTTTGAAGTCTGTAGTTTAGGCGAGGAGTCGTGTGAACAAAAGTAGTCCACAAAGATCAGAGTGTTTCCAGAAAGGACACAACTTGGATAATAGTTGCAACATCAGCGTCTGTGCCGTACTTACATGATCAGTTTGGGGGAAGAATGGATTTTAAACTCTAAAAATGTAAAACAACGATGTAATGTTTTTAAGGCAATTTCATCCAGCCCTGATTATTTCACTATACACATTTTTTGATAACTTGAAAATTTTAAATTCAATTTGATTTTCAAGTTCTAACAAAAAAAACATATCATTATTTACCTTAATATTATTATTTACCTCTAATATTCCAAAAAAAAACATATCATTATTTACCTTTTTTACCTGTACCCAGACAGACTCAAGACTTGAACAATGTGAGCATGTTTTAGACTATAGACTGAAAACCGTGTAAAGCACTTTGGGTGACCTTGTTCTGTGAAATGCGCTTTATAAATGCAGATGGCTTATTTATAGTAGAACATATACTTGGTTATTTATGTTTGTGTTCTGTTATGATGAGGCTTTCTCTGGAGTCAGAAGTTGCCTAAAACCTAAAAAACTATAGTAGTACAAATTTCACATGTTTTTAAGGTTGATTGTGTACACTTGTCTATATCAAATAAATGAAAAGAAATATGTAGGTGTCCAAATTTAGAGTTTGATAATTACGCTAAATTACACTTTGAGGAGGACTGAGACTGCGGAGCCGGAGTGACGAGGTTCAGACGGAGCTTTTCAGAAGTGGTTCAATGATTGATGAAGGACGTCAGCTCAACTCAAACACTGAAACCTGTGACGTCTTCCTCCTTTTTACAGAACACCTGAAATCCATCCAGAACTTTCTTTCACAAAACCTTTTCAACACATGGCTCTAATAATAGAAGCCTTTTTTGTCATGTCAATAGGTCTACAAGATAAACTGCGATTCCAATTACTTGTCTTTTTGCAAATGACATAGTTTGCAGTAGGGCTGGGCAATAAATCGAATTTTGGCAATTAATCGGCTTTTGAAAAAATGTAATTCGTGAAAAATGTGAAAATCGTTAAATCGAATGAGGGAGATTGTGAGAGTTCCAGCAGCACATCAATTATACTTGCGATATCAGCACAGTCAGTACAAGACTTTTATGATATGTATTGGGGAAAAAAAAAAAAAAACGTTTTGAAACTTAAATATTGAGCGGGAAGATAAAACATATTTTAAGGGCAAAGTCTGTCTTGAGTGACTAATGAAAATCGATTTAAAATCAACATCGTCCAAAGCAGGAAATAAAATCGAGATTTTACTATTTTGCCATATCGCCCAGCCCTAGTTTGCAGTAATTTAAGTCCTTTCCACACCATTAAAATGTTGTTGTTGTAATTAAAACATGTATCTTTAAAGACCAGGCATGTCCAAACTGAGGCCCGTGGGTCATTTGCGGCCCTTTTTGCCTTTCTATTTGCCCCCTTTCCTCGCTAACACAACATAGTCTTTGAGATCATAAACGCAGTGTCATCCAGCCAACTTCAGCCCTAGCAATATATAATAATAATAATAATAATACATTTTATTTCTTAGGCGCCTTTCTTGACACTCAAGGTCGCCACTATATGCATGCTATACCACGTTGTAAACCTCAGAACCTTGGGTAATTATTTGTTCATACTGACATTTGTTTTTCATTCTGTCACTAAATTCTCGCTAATGGTGGTGGTGAGATGGTCATTTCAGCCAACTTCAGCTCTGTCATAGCTAATTATAAAGCTCCAGAACAGCCCGAGTCCTGTCAAAACAGTTCTACAATCCTGGACTAGAGTGGGTCACTGAAGTGGCTTTCTTACTACTAGATTTGGACACTCCTGCCATAGACCTCCTCAGCCTGTTCTGAAAGTCCTTGCTCTTTTCTTTTCTTATTGAGTTGTTTTCAATGTGCTGTCACTTTTTAACCTACACTTAAAAATCTATATCTCAAGTGTTGGTCAGCGTTGATGCAACTAGATCTAAAATCCAACATGGACTGTATTTCTTTGCTGTTTGAGTAAATGAACGGCAGAAATCTTCAAAACGTCTTTTCTCAATGCCTCAGCTCATTTTGACTTCATACCAAGTTCCTCTGCTCTGGGATTTTATAGAATTGCCTCACATTTTCCATGACTTCTGTGCTCTGCGTTTTTCCATTTTACCTCCCAACAAACACGTTCCAGTAAGGTACATAAATCTCCTTTTGAGGTTGCATCCTTTGATCGGGAAACAATAACATCCATTCCGTTTGACTGTCGAGGTCAGTGTAGTCCACAGGTGTCAAAGTCAAAGCCCGGGGGCCAGATTCGGCCCGTGAGACCATTTCCCGTGGCCCCTGAGATGATTTTAAATTACTGTATTAAATAGCAGCATCAGATTCAGATTCAGATTCATTTATTTGCCATTTGCAGTAAAACCACATTGGAAAAACTGTGCAAGACTACCCCGGTGTGCACCAGACAGAGGAGACGACACACACCAGAGCTCTTGCCACGGCGCCATCTTTACGGCGCCATGCGACAAACAGTAGAATAAACAGCAGAGAGCGATAACATTATCCAACTGTCTGTGAAACATAACAGTTTCACAGACAGTTGGATAGACACATTGTGCCTTGTATAAAGCACGGATTTTTTCTCGGGATGAAGCACCTCCTACAGCCGGCCCAATGTGGCTGTCAGAGGGGAGGGGGGTGAGTCGGAAACACAGCATTAATGGTAATAGGCGACAATGGCATGTTATCCATTACTAATTTTCTCAAGAAAACAACCATAAAATTTAATTCCATAAGAAATTTAAGCTGTCATGTAATTAGAAGTGAGTATTATAATATTATGTTTTTTACAAGTCAACTAATGTGAAACAAGTCATTTATATAGATACCTTCATAATATAAAAAAAAGTATAATAAATGAAACCCACTTATTCTTACGGCCCCTGACCAGCCCTTTCATTTTTTATTCGGCCCTCAACCAAAATGAGTTTGACACCCCTGGTGTAGTCTGTCGTTAATCCAGTTTTGATCTAAATTTTCAGATGTCACGTTTGGTAGAGCGACAGTAGCTCAGTTGATAGAGCATTGGCCTTTGGGCCTGAAGGTCGTGGGTTCGAGCCCACCATAAGACCTACTTCACGACTCCCACTGATGACTGCTGTCGTTGTGTCCTTGGGCAAGACACTTAACCCCACTTTGCCTGAAGCCCCCGCTGAAAGATCTCAGCTCCTGTGGACTCACCACCTGCAGGAGGATCAGTGAGGGGCTGGTGCTCTGTGTACTGTGTGCAGCTCTGACTGCCACCCCCCCAACCCAGAAATGGATTAAGGGGAAGAAAATGGA